AAAATAATCATTATTTTTACTTCTAAAACTGAAACTGTGACTTCTACAATGAGAGGCAAATCTTAGGAGCCAAAAACAAAGTTCAAATTCAATCACACTTGAAGTAGATTTTGTTAAAAATCCCAAAACAAGTAGAGTACATTTAAACTGTGGGGGAAAAAAACGGGACCAACGGTTTGAAGCGGACCACTGCAGACTTCCTGCAGGGCAGACTGGCTGAGGGGGCACAGGTGGATGGAGACTGGAGACAGATGTGAAATGAAAGGCGGTTGGAGCAGCTGCAAGCAGGAACAGGTGGAGTGACACAAGTGGGCAAGTTTGATCAAAGAGAGAAAAATAAGCTCACTGGATTATGGCAGAACTTTAAACTAACACTTTGTTTGGAATATAAAATTACTAGCCTTCATCTTTACATGCTGCATACTGATTCTGGTTTGTCTGAATCAGTTCCCTGATTATAAATAGATGAGAAAAGTCAGTTGAAACTTCAGTTCTTGATCAGTCTGAGAGCTTATTTATGATCAAAATTAATACAGAACCTGAAACCTCCTGTCCCACTGGTGCTTCTTTGAAAGCTGAAGATAAAAATGTCACTTTACATTTGGTGGGAGTGGTGGTGCAGTGGTTAGAGCTGAAGGTCGCAGGATTGCCCCCTTTTCTCTCTGTGTAAAGTTTGCATGTTCACCCTGTGCACACATCATATTATGGTTTCCTCCCACAGAACATGGTTAATTAAATCTAATTTGTCATTAGGTGTGAGTGGTTGTTTGTCTGACTTGTCCTGATGCGACTTGTCCAGGGTGTATCCTGTCTTTCACACACTGACTGCTGGAGACAGACACCAGCTCCCCGTGACCTGGGAARGAGAAGCGGTTAAAGAAAAACGGACGGATGCTTGTGAGAATTTATGCATTCATTTAGACAAAATCACAACCAAAGATTAAAACAGAGGAAAACCGTTTTAGATTGGGAAAAAAAGAACTTGGCAAATGCCGTGTGTGTGTGTGTGTGTGTGTGTGACAACATAAAACAAACAGTTTAAAACTAACAAAGCAAAAGTAAATATACTGTACTTTTACAGCACCTTTCTATTCAACCAGGACACTCAAAGCGCTTTACAACACAATCTGTGTCCTCATTTAACCATCCACACACATTCATTCAGCACTCTATTATCTCTCTACAACATGCACAAATCRTTCAGTGGAGATTAATCAGTGCTTTAAATCASWTTCTGATGGCAGAGGGGTTCAGTTGTGACAATTGCATCCACATGATCAACGTGACTGAATAGTACGGCATCAGAATGCCAACTGTCTGATTAGAGGACGACTTTCCTCACCACACATCCATAGCCGAACTCAACCCATGGTATAAAAAATGTAGCATTTAAAGTTCTTAAAATAAAACTGTCTCTGTACAACAGATACAATGCTTCAGATGTACTGGTTATCAAATAAAAATGTGTTGTCCAAWCCTGCTCCTCAAAAGCCACTCTCCTGCATGTTTTAAATGTTTCTTCTTTCCAGCAGGTCTTCAGGTATCAGTTATTCATTCAAGTCAGRTGTGTCGAAGCAAAGAAACGTCTCAAATTTTACATTTCTCCTTGTCTGATGATAAGTTTTTATCCTTGGTTTGGTATTTGACCCAAAAAAAAGGAAAAGAAACTGGCTATGTTTTTTGCTAACAGAAACACAGTTTTGCGCTTTCACACATCTGATTTGAATAAACGAGTGATTATCAGGCTCCTGCAGAACCTGAAGACCTGCTGGAGAGCAGGAAAACAACTAAAACCTGCAGGATAGTGTTCATGTGTAAATGGACCAAGATTAAACACCACTGGTATAAAACTGAAGCTGAAATACGTTTTGTTTATTAGGAAAAGTTAAATTTTCCCACACATCTAAAAGCCTTTATAAACATTATTATTTTATAATTGTATGTTTTTTTTTTATTGTGGCGTTAAAATATTAAATCTGTATCATCTGGACAAAAGGATTTTTGTTTAAAACGTAGCCCTAAAAAGTACTTTTTATTCTGTAAATCATATTAGAAAAATAAAAGCAATTGTTTAATTCCAACAACTTACTTTGAAAATAAGAGGACATGCTCAAAATGTATTTATTGGCCACATGGTTTCTGACAAGGTATTTTTGTTTTGCCTTTCTGTGCAGACGTAACAGAATGTTTAGACTTTATTTATAAGAGGCCTCTTGCAAATTAATTTATTCAAAGTGTACCATTAAACTAAACTGGAATCTAACATATGAAACCTCTTCACTTATAAAACAGAGAAGCACAGGTCCTGCAGTCACAAGGACCATTACATTTGTCCATGCACACTTATTAATATCTCCTTCTTCAGGAGGCACAAACAGAAATCTGTGAAGTTCCAGGTCTAAAAATCACAGATTGCTACAGTTCTCTAAAGTTTCTTTACAGTTTATTTAACCACCTGTTACTGAGCTGAATAAAGAAACTGTTCMTGAAGGAAATGAAGATAAAGCAACAGTTTCTTGCAGTCAGCACAATCTGCAGAGCTGCTTTCTAGGCAAGTTTATTAAAAATAGAAGGTAACAATGTTTTATGTGCATTGTTCATGACACAAAAAAATGATTATGTCCTCCTGATTTGATTTTTATGGTTATTTTTTTAGAAAGTTTATTCACTCTTTTCAAACAGGTTATTTATTTTTTTTTTTTATGTTTTTGCTGCCTTCAGGAAAAGACAAGAATTATTTAGACTCTGTCATTTACAACCAGTGGAACATCTTCACCACCCACCTTAATAAAGATAACAGTYAATACATCGTCATGGCAACTACGCTTTTCATCCCAACAACTGCCTCACCGCCCACAAAGGTCCCACAGCAACCGTCACCAAGCAACCCCGCTCCTTTTTTATTTTTTTTTCTCCGTTTCTCTATTTAAAGGAGCAGAGGAGGAGGAATGATAAATCATGCTGCAGCGAAAATACTTTTTTCAACAGGGAAGGAAGTTGTTCACGACAACTTGTTGCCCCTGAAAAGGAGAAGAAGAAGAACCGTTGGTGGATTTTTCTGTTCAGGTTTTAGTTGTGGTCGGGGGCAGTTCTAGGTGCGGGGCCACAGGGGCATTGGCCCCTGTTGAACTTTGATTGGCCCCCTGAAGTGCCCCTGTCCTGTCACTCATCTGTACTTTGCCCATGAGTGATGATGCTGGGTGCAGTTTCATGTCCCAACACTACAGGTGCTAATGAGACCAAYAGAGAAGTCCTGCATGAAATTAGATGACAGAAGTTTATTTCTTTTCATAAAATTTGAACAATTGTGCAGAAAAAGTCTTTCAGCTCAAAAAATGATGGTTGGATTCTCTCACATGCTGTGTATTTGAGAGTATTTTATCTATATACTGYAAAATGCATGTAAAATTTGTAAGGAAAATGTACTGTGCAAGTTTTTTTTAAATTACAAGTGTTTAAACGTGCGACTGGTGTGTATATATTTATATATACATCTTACCAAAACCAGGGATTTGTGTGGGATTTGTGTGCAAGGATGCAGAACAAATAATTGGCCCCTTTATGAATATTGTGGCCCCTTGATGGCCACTTACACAGAAAAATCCCAGATCCGTCACTGGTTGTGGTGATCWTAACTTCCCTACAGATGTCAGAATTGGGCTTTTTATTGCAACTGATACCTGTGTTGTGCAACACATCACTGTTGTCCTCAGGGCTGTTGTTAGACTCAACAATAATTTAGCTAAGTCATGTGTTRTTAAAGGCACAGGATGTCCTGCCAAAGGACGCTGCATTGTAGCACGATTTCCCCGCTGCCCACGCCAAAGATTCCAGTTTTGTTCGTCTAACGGACGAGGGTGGTCTTATTCCAGCACTATCACTAGTTTGATCATAACCTTCACTGATGAAGTTGCCTGAGCAACATTATCTCTCTGGTCTTGTTTTTACTTTCCACGCTCAAACACAGGAAGTGTTTCAGAGAGGAAGCAGGACAAAAAATACAAAAATGACTGCTTTAACAAGGCATCTGATTGGTTCTTTTTTATAATGTGACCTAATGCAGCCCACTTTCTTCTGTCCAGAATGTTTTGTTGTAAGAACAGGAGTGTTTGCTGTGCTGAATGTAATGTTCCCACACATTTCCTGACCTCGGTTGTACTCTGCCTCTGTGGGCTCAGCTGACAGGAGGGGGGTGTGGCTAACACAAGGAGAAGAATGTAAATGTAGTCAGGAACATGTGACCGGGGCTGTTTGCCCAAACACACACTGAGTTGGGTGGATTTTTCTGCTCACTGCAACGCTGGAGGATTTTTTTTTTTAGGACTTAAACTTCCTGCTAACTTTACTTTGCCTTTTTTGTTTGTTTCTCTGCTGACAGCAGATCGGAAGAATTAAACCGTTTATCTGAACAGCTCCGGATCATTTCTTGATTGTGGCCTGGGATTTTGATGAAAGCATTTTGTCATATTTCCCAGGACGCTGGCAATTCTTGTTTTACACCCGCAGCCTTCGAAACAACCTGGTCTTTCCTGTCAGTATGGTGTTTCTGGTATGTGGCGGCTTGTTTATGTAGCTGCTGACTTTTCAAAATGCTTTACTGCTGCCGTGCTTGACTGACACGGACAGCATAGCAGTGAAGACAGATGAGTTGACTTGGCAAAATATTAACTACAGTCTGAACTCTTTGAAAGAAGAAAAATGGATGACAGAGGGCTTTTTGTCACTCGGATTACCAACTCACAGTGTAAGCAAGGAAAGTTGTCCTGACCTGGGACTAGTGCTTAAATTAATAAAATAATCTGGGTTAATTCACAATGAACTCCACTAAGAGGTGGTTAGCTTCACGTCGCTCTAAAATTTACAAGTAAGTCTGTTTTGAGTTATTCTGCATCACTGCTTGGTATTATTTTACTTCCTAACATTATCGATCACTTTGTGTTTTGCACCTCGACAYGTTCTTCTTTCTTCTTATAGCTCCTGCTCCTTGTTTTCCTCTGCAGTGTGGAAGGAGAAGCCCCGTGTCCTGAGGCGAGCGCCCAAAAAGACAGCTCCTTTAGCCAGACGCCTTACCTCCACAGCTCCCAGCGCTACACCGACAGCAGCAGCAGCGGCGCCACTCCCTCCACCTCCAAGGGCCCTGCGAGCGTGGCCACCTCCAGCTCCTCGGCCAGTCTGGCCTGGGTGCTGCGAACGCGCCACCAGCCGGCAAGTCTGGCCCTCCGCAAGCAGGAAGAGGAGGAGAACAAGAGGTGCAAGGCCCTTTCTGACAGCTATGAGCTCTCAACAGATCTGCAGGATAAGAAGGTAACAGTACAGTAACTGTACAGTTTGTTAAAGGATTAGGGCTGGGGTTGATTGTGGGTTTTGGAGCTTAGGCCATGAGACTTGMAAACGTGGTTATGGCCCACCAACATGTATGCCTGTCTGCTAGCAAAATATGCCTTGAACCACAGGACAGATTTTAATAAAACTCTCAGAATGTAATCACTGGAAGCACATCTACAGCTAATTATTGTTTACAGTCAACCAAACTCTACAGGGCTGACAGTTAACGGACAATAGGAAGCACGTAAACGACTACAACTGTTTCAGAGATACAGTATCTTATCTATCAGTTTAGTTTTGTTTTTTGTRTGATTTGTTCAACAAGGACAGTGTGCAAAAACAACAAAAAAAARCAATCAAATATACTTTGTACCAGATTTAGCTTAAGCTAGTTTACATCGGTAGTCCTTATATTGTAAGGGTGTCCCGATACAACTTTTTCATTTCCAAAATGATAGAAACATTACTGGCTTGAGCACTGGCTGATACCGAGATCAACCCGATATGATATCAGAACAAATCCTACAAATTCATTTTTTTTTGTWGTGTGGAATCTTAAAAAGTCTTGATCAGATCAGACAGTAAACAATRGTCAACAGTAGGTATGAGAAAGATTGGTCCCATTTATTATTAACCAATGGGTTGGTAAAAGGTTACATTATTTTTAAYTTTAATTTTGTACAACTAAATACAATAAATAAATAATAAAATAGAAGACCCTGAAAATTGCCTGAATAAATACAATAAACTAAAAATACTTTTAGAGTGTAAAATAACTATTCAGTGTATTTATGCTGGATCCAAGCCCTGCTGGATAGAAATCCTGAGCAGACTACTGGAATGGACAGCTTTTATCAGAGTGCTTGTATCAGAGATTTTAGATGCAGGCCCATATAAGCCGGTATTCATTTTTAGCTAATATCGGACCAATACTCAATATTGATATCAGATCGGGACACCCCTACTAAATTGAGTTCGATTTTGGCATGGTTGTTGTTGAGAATTATCAACACGTACTTAAAGTGTTATAAGATCACATGATGCCTTGCAATAGTGTGTGAYGTACATAAAAAGATTTGACCAAAATGGCAACAAAGGAGGATTGTAGTCTAAAGCTCATGCTTGAAAAGAGGTAGGCAATGTCCATTTATGCTAAGTTTTTAATTTATTATGAATCTTGAGTCAGAGAGGCGTCATGAATGTGTACATTTACGGTTGCTTCTCCTTGTTTTCCCTCAACTTTTCAAGGTGGAAATGTTGGAGAGAAAGTACGGTGGCTCATTTGTAAGCCGCAGGGCAGCTAAGACCATTCAGACAGCCTTCAGGCAGTATCGCATGAATAAAAATTTTGAGCGCCTCCGAAGCTCGGCCTCAGAGAGTCGCATGACACGCCGCATCATCCTGTCCAACATGAGGCTGCAGTATTCCTTCGACGAGCGCCAACCTCAGCAGCAAACACAGACCAACTTCACGCACAGCGTGGCCATCGGGCCGCCTCATTCCCCTGATCCGGACCGCCCTGCAGACTACACTCACCTCGAGGACTCCTTCTCTAAGCAGGTAGAGTTGTTGGGACTCTAAAGGTTTAATTCTGAAATCATGCTGCTCACACATGATTAAATGTTTGGGTGTGTGGTCTGATTACAGCTCGGATTGTTTCTTTGTAGGTCAAGTCCTTGGCTGACTCCATAGACGATGCCCTCACCTGCCGCGCGGGTCGCGATGACTCCCAGGAGGGCAGCAGGGATGGTGGAGGGATGAGCGAAGACTTCGGAGAGTGCATGTGGAGCAGCAGCAGCAACCCGTCCTCTCAGAGAGGTTTAGGAGAGCGAGGCAGGGGGGCCGGAGGGGGGCTCAGCATGCACGGCGACAGCACGGCCACCTCTTACAGCGATGTCACCCTTTACATGGACGACGGCATGCCGTCCTCGCCGCTGTCCCTGGACCGGGCTCCCAGCAGCACCGATACGGAGTACTGGGGCCCCGGTGGYGGCGTGGGAGGCCGCGAGGACAGCAGGGACACCGAGGGAGGGGGCAGCARTAACAGTCGGCGCAGCACACCGTGCACAGAGTGCAGAGACTACCGCCTGAGAGGAGCTCACCTGCCTCTCCTCACCATCGAGCCGCCGAGCGACAGCTCTGTGGACATGAGCGACCGGTCAGACCGGGGCTCCCTGAGCAGACAACTGGTCTTTGAGCAGGAACCCGGGGTTGGATCAAGCTCCCCTCAGGGAACCCTCAAACACTCCCCCAACTCAGGCAGCCACCCCTCCTCTACAGTAGCTGCTCAGGGTCAGACCAGGCCCACAGGCAGGTCTATTCCCACACACATCCCACACCAGGTGGCGGCCCACCACCACCATCACCACCACCCCATCCACCACCATCAGTACCCTGACACACCCTCGTCCTCCTCCTCCCCCCAGCAGCCTCCCACCACCCCTCTGTCCTCCTCTTCCTCCACGGCCCTGCCACCYGGCGGTCTGGAGCAGCCGTGCTGCTCGGACGGGGACAACGACTCGCTCAACTCCACGACCAACTCCAACGAGACCGTCAACTGCAGCTCGGGCTCCTCGTCTCAGGACAGCCTGCAGGAGCCGCTGCCTCCTCTGGGCAAACAGACGTATCAGAGAGAGAGCCGCCACAGCTGGGACTCCCCGCCCTTCAACAGTGACGTGGTGCAGAGACGCCAGTACCGCATCGGTCTCAATCTCTTCAACAAGTAAGCTTCCATCAAGCACAAGTAATGCACTTCTTGATGGTGTTCCTGCATGTACAATGATAAGATTTATGGTATTTTTACCTGAACTGTAGAAAGCCAGAGAAGGGCATCCAGTACCTGATAGAGAGAGGATTTGTGTCGGACACACCTGTTGGGATCGCTCGYTTCCTCCTGGAGAGAAAGGGCCTCAGCAGGCAGATGATTGGAGAGTTTTTGGGAAACCGACAAAAACAATTCAACAAAGATGTTTTAGAGTAAGTGTGCAAAATAAAAGCTTGTCTTTTAAACAGACATGTAAACCAAATGTCATGGCTTTGTTCTCTAAATAGAGTCATCTTACATATTTATTTTCATTTTCTGAATGGATGAAATCTTTAGATAGGCCTGAGGCACTTGGTCCACACACTGGCACTGTACATAACAAGTAAAGGCCTGTCATGTACCACCCAGTACCTTTTATGGCAAAGTGTTAAACCAAGCTCATCTTATGGCATGCAGAGACAGAGTTATGGCTGTTTTGGACAAACCTTGTCTATTACATTATGAGCTATATTGTGAGCTCTCTCAGGATCTGTTATATCTTGGAATTAAGGATGGCTCAGCTTTTAGAACACAAAATTTAAGCTCAATGGGCCTCATGCAAGAACATGTTCATATTCTTATCCTAAATTTCTCTTACTTTTGTTCGTACAAA